TATCCACATAAAACCTGAGTAAGTTTAAAGATGTTTCCAAACACACAAAAATGGAGCCAAATGTGGCTTTCTAGTCCCACCGTCTCTCATGGTGGCTATGGTACAGAGATGCTTCTCCCAGTACTGCCTATGTGTGGGCTTCAGCTGCCAGCACACCATGAGCTAAGCTGTACCAAGGTTTAAGGTTTTGTTCATGCAGACAAAAAAGGTTACAGATGTAAGGCAGGTTCAGATGGAAAAATTTCTAAACAGGTTACAGTATGTTTAACAATGTGCATAGGCTTAAGGAAAAAAAAGAAAAAGGATATAGACAGTCATAAAAATAAAAAGTTTAAAAATAATAAAGTCTTTTAAAAAAAAGAGTAAAACAACAACAACAACAACAAGAATAAGCCACCTAAAGGTGGGATGCACAAAGGGAGTCTGGATCCTGTGTGTTTTTTTGAAGTTTGAATTTTTTATTCCTGATGAAACAATGACAGCTGCTGAGAGGCTTTAGATTATTGAAACTGATAAATTAAACTATCCTACATATTTTAAAAATGTCAACTTTGAAATGAAAGTAAAAAGATGTTTGTATGCAGAAGAGGTTATGCTTTTGTTACCACAGAAAATGAAAGGCTGTGGGTTGATTCAAGGTTAAGGTGGATCAGATTTGTTTGGGGGAGACCCCATGAAAATCTGGACTACAGACATAAAGAAATAAACTAGAAAAACTACAAGACAGATGACATATATTTACCTGCTCAAACAAAACAAAAGATCTTTTTTTGTCTGGCTTGTGTAAAATGCAAAGTATGTACTTATATTAATGCAGATATGTATGTTACCTTTGAAAGTTTATATGTTTTCAGAGCAAGGGACCAGATACCAATGGCCCAGGTGATCCAGCCTCTCAGAATGCCTCTGTGGCAGTTTCCTCAGAGTTCTACATCCAGAATAGCTTCAAGGCTGCTGACTGAGATGGTCCAGACTATCTATCCAGGACTTAGCCATTATCCTAATTTTTTCAGGGTCCCTTAAAGATGCCAACTCCCACAGACAAACAGGAAGCAGTCTAAAGAACACAATGCCCACATTGCAAAGAGACAGGGTGCATGGTTTTTGTTCATTCAATGGGTTATGGATGTTTATCATTGTTTAGGGGGGTATATAGAAATATAATATAGGACAAAACAACAACTATTAAACTCAAATACTTTGTATTGGTGTGGATTTTGGTATACTAATACAAATTAAAAGTTAATTTTGTTATACTAAATATATGTTTCTACTCTTATTTGGGATATTGTACTTATGGATAATTAAGAAATGCAGGTTAGTAGTTAGTCATTCATAACTATAAAACTTGTAGTTCTATTAGGTATGTTTTCAAGGTTAAACAGATATATTTAGATAAGATAGGTAGTCTTTAAACACTTCAAAGACCTATAGAATATGACATTTAAAATGTTTTGTTAATATTGAGTTTTTCATGACAATGAGACACATCTGCTCCTGGCAGCACCAATCTACTTTATGAAAGGATAATGAGCATCAAGGAAATTCCTTATGGAGTTTGCTTTCATTGTGGCAAGGTTAGTCACTGGGTGAGAGACTGCTTTTGCCTTGACAGTTGACATATGCTGTACAAACTGGGCAAGCAGAAGACAAAGGAAAAAGTGTTGAACTTTGCCAAAATAAGGTCTGACAGCCCTTCAAAATTCTTGATTCATAGAAAAGTCTGCCAGACATTCTACAGGACAAACAGGAAAGAAACTCCTAAACTTTGCCAAGACTAGGCAGTCCTTCAAAATTTCTACTTCATAAAAGAGTCTGCCAGATATTCTAGGCCATTAGGCTGAAGGTGGATGACCCAACATTGCCGAGGAACCTTGGGTGACTGCCCAGGCAGCCAGATGTCTGTCATTTCTATAGTTTTGGAAGTGGCTTGCATTGCACTTCCTGTTTACTCAGGTAATATTATATCCTTTTGGTAAAGTCTTTGATGGAGTTAAGGACTAGGTAGTTATAGTTGTAGTCTTCATTAGTTATGAGAGAAGATAAATTAGATACAAAGCTTTGGACTCATCAAGATAAAATAAATAATGGAGTATTTTCTCCAAATATGCCAAATGCAATTGGACTGGACATCATAAATGTAATACTTACCTGATAATCATTCTAATTGTTTATAGTTTTGTTAAGTAAGAGTTAAAATCTTTCCTTTTCATTTAGACAAAAAGGGAGAAATATTGTGGGATAATCTTTTTGTCCCCTGTGAAGATCTTTCACTTGGATTGGTTTAATAAAAACCTGAATGGCCAATAGCTAGGCAGGACAGAGAGGATGCTGGGAAGAAGGACAGAGTTGCCAGCCAGATAGAGAGGAAGCAAGACATGCAGGAGACAGGTAAATGCCAGGAGCCATGAGGCAACATGTAGATGAATCAAAAAGGTTAATTTAAGCTATAAGAGCTGATTAGAAAAAAAGTCTAAGCTATAGGCCAAGCTTTCATATTTACTAAGAACTCTCCATGTGGCTATTTGGGAACAGACAGGCAGGACAGAAAAATCTGCCTACAAAAAGATATAGTTTGATTAGTACAAAGGAGTCCCAAACTGAAAGTTGAACTTTTTCACATCATTTATATTTCAGACACTTGATTTTATGTCTCAATATAATGACTTCAGACATTTAGTTTATACACAGGAGACTATGATAGAAACATGCTTCTACTCTATCTTGAGAGTGCTAAATAAGGTGGCACTAAAGTTGACAGTGGGCAGAGGAAATGGCTCAGCAGGTGACAGAACACACTGTGCAGCAGAGCCTGAAGATCTGAGTTAATGCCCAAGGCCCTAACAAAAAGATAGATATGATGCTGCACATTTGTAATCTCAGCATCCCCATCAGCACGATGGGAGGTGGAAGCTGGAAACTAGTCTAGGGGCTGTAAGGGCAGCTAACCTGGAGCACACAGGGTGGAAGAAACCCCAGAGAGCAGGCCTCAGTTAGGTGGAAGGAGTAAACCAGCTCCTGAAAGTTGTCCTCTGACCTTCATACACATGCCATAGAACACACGCACATGCACGTGGAACACACGCACATGCGCGCACACACACACACACACACACACACACACACACACACACACACACCACACACACACACACACAAACCATGCAGACACACAAATATTGGTGAAAATAATGACAATAAATAAAAGATATAAGAATTTAAAGTTGATAGCACTATTTCACATGGAACACAAGAGGAAATTTGAACGATGCTTAGAACTCCTTTAGCCTCTTCTAGATGTCTCGGCATTTTAGAAGAACAAAAACCAAGCACACACTATGAAACTGAATATAATACACACTTAAGTTATGTGTTGAGTTTTGTAGTTGTTTATTCAACAGAAGATAACAAAGGTTTCAATTCTTTTCAAAGCCTTTCATCTTTCTAATAGAGAAGTCTCTTCTGATGAGAGCAGAGATGTGCAATGTAAGACCCTTATGCCAATTTTCAAAGGGACATTTGGCCATGGAGGGAACCTGTTGACCCAATGTGTTTGAGGAATGGAGTGCAGTTAGGAAAAAAACTTTCCTAATTGTCCATATTCCTGGGTGGTACTAGTATTCAATGACTCTGGAAAACAAGATTACCTCCAGCATATGTTATGCAATCACAGAGACAGAGCTCGGGTTTAAAAGAAGTTGTTGGTGGGTTTTATACATTATTGTCATCACCTTAAAACTTATAATATATATTTTTAAACAAGGGATCCCCTGTTATCATCGTACATTGTACCTGGAGAGCTATGATGTGTAGAAGGGCTTTTAAAGAAGTACAGTATAATCAGTTGCTTTCTTATGGCCTTTGAGAAGACATAACATGCCTAAGGACCATACCATGCACACATGGGCTTGTTCTGCTTTCTCCAAAGGATTGCACACATACAGCATCTTCAGGAGACTAATACCTCCACAAAGGATACAGTTTTGTTTCCCATTTTAAGTCCTTCTCCTATACCATCTGCTTTAAAGATACTTATATAGTTGTCTTGTATTTGTAGTTGTATATGTAGTTGTTTATATTTCCTATAAGTCAGTATGCTCATATGATTATAATTGATAGGCAAACCAATGTGTTGGAAATTTCTAGGGGATTGCTGCAAAAGCAGACGAGTAGACAGACCTCTTTCTTCTTCCTCCTTTAGGCTGAAAGGCAGATGTGATGGGAAGTGAACCTTGACCACTGTAGAAGAGGACCTGCTAGGGGAAAGCACAGCAAGGGAAGACAGAACTCATCTCCTTGCAAGACCTGGTGAAGGAAAGCTCTTCTGCAAAACCCTGGGCTGCTTATCTTGCATCAAAGACTTAAAAGAGGAATTACTTTTTATTCCCAAGGCCCTTTGCATTAGCACTGTTTCTCCTAGCTAATGCATACCATAAATTCTTGTGGGGTGCTTCACTATAATTTTTTTTTAAAGTAGAATAGCTGAATAATGAAAAGTTCTGAGTACTGGAGATTTGCACATAGGAAGCATTATTAATTTGCATTAAAATGATCTAAAACTATATTGAACCAAATTTTACCTTCAATGATTTTCAGAACGCTCTAAGTCTTGTGTAGCCTCAAGGTCATCTTTATGAACACTAATTATAGTATAAGTCTATAGATGCTGGGACTTGAGTAAATCTATAATAACCTCATGACAAACTCCTGAAATTGCATTTTCAAAATAAATTCCTGAGGCACTCTAATTTCTCTGTAATTTATCTTCATTATGAAACAGACTATAGAAGGTGAAAATAACTTTTGCAAATGTTCTCATTATTTGGGAACTGAATATGGGCACATCTGCTTTTGAAGAAATACATAAAAAATAGAAAGTACTTTTATACCTTAATATTTTCAAGTGATGAAACATGCTAAGATTTAAAATATCATGTTGATGAACCAGTTGGAAAGCTGTGAAGGAATCCTGTAGTTAAGAGTGTAGATTTTATGTTTACCTGCTCCGATAACTCTCTCAATGCGAATTCTTGAAGGATCAATCTCTTTTGCAAATTCATGGACTGCTAAGGATGGGTCTTCATAGGTGTCTGGATCGATGTATGTTTTAATTCCTGGGAAGCGCACTGCAAGAAAATATAAGATGGATTTAATTGAAGAGTATTTCAGCAGGCATCTATCTTGTGAATGTGTAAAGGTGGGAGTGGCATACAGAGGTAGTTACTTATTAATTACTTAAATTTCTCTTTATTTTTCCCTTCAGGTTGATGCCTGCACAAAAAGGAAAACAACAGAGAGCTCCTACAGTGTATAAATTCTCTCTCTTGCTCTGCTTCTTGGCTGCCACAAATTGAACAGCTTTTGCTGCAGGGTCCTACCTCTAGGATATATTACCTTACCATAGGTCCACAAATTCAGAATCAGGTAGCCACAGACAGAATTCTATGAAATCCTGAGCTGCAAACACATCCTTCCTCCTTAAGAAATCTAATATAAAGAAACAGGAACATTACTATGACTAGATTGGACGCTGTGGTTCAGAGGCTTTGGGGATGGTTTATAAGTGGATCTGAAAAATTCTGGGTCTGTAAGGAGAGCCTAATGGTAATTCTGGAGGGAGGTCAGAAGACCAGAATGCAAGAATGCCAAGAGTGAAGATCGTATTCATGGAGTTTCTTATAGGAAGAACTGTACTGGAAATCTGTGACAAATAATTTCCACAACTTTTGTTCATGTCCCAGGGGAAGGCTGAAATGAGAGATCACCAAAGGCAAATTTGGTGGAGGAAATTTCAAAGCAGTCCAAGAAGGCTCTGACACAGTTGTGCTGGCTACTTTTAGCCATATTTATGGTGAGAACTGTGATTTAAAAAAATAGAATAGAAGGGTTTGGAAGACAAAAAATAACCTCACAATTTGGTAAGAAAGAATTAAGTTTAAAGTTAAAGACAAGAGGGTGTGGCTGTTAAAGAGATTAGAGCCATTAAAAGAAAGCTGTGGACTTGGCTTTGGAAAATTAGAGTGTGCCTTGAGCGTTTCAGGACTGAGCAGGATTCTACCCATGTTAGATTCAAGAGTATAAGTGCATACACTTACTTGAAAGATATTTCCTAAGAGGCAAGATCTATTGGTGTAAACTATTCACCTAGGATAATCTGGGTAGTTTTTTCCTTAATATTTATTTCACTTTTCTCATTCATCTTGACCCTAAGAGGACTCTATACTCATGGTTCAGGCTGACAGAAGACCTTAGCATTATTTACTAATCCTAATTTTGTAATGATGAATGTAGAAGAATTATTAGTAAGGTCATCGAGACTCCCCTCAACTTTCAAAGAAAGCCTAGAGATCCAGTCAATATGTAGAAGATTTGGTATTACTGTGGTAATTGCTGATAGGATAATGTATAAAGCCATGATAACAAAGGTAAAGATGAAATAGAGATACCAGGAAGCTAGAGATTCTGGGAATACAGAACACCTGTTGAGAAAGACTATAGGCAATAGGCAGAACCAGCTCAAGAAAGTGGTCAAGTGTGCTAAAAACAGAGAGGATGCGATGCCCAAGTCCTTTGCACCTTGTATCATTCTACAACATGACCTGAATCCTAGACACAAAGCTACATGATTTAATGTTTACTCTGTTATATTTACTTTGTATTGTTCCAAACCTTATTTGGTATTCCATATTCTCGACTTTTGGAATGAGAGAATTTATTTTGTATCACTCTATCTGGTCTCTGTGACTCTGGCCTCAAAGGAGATTTTGAACTTTTCAGCAATGTTGAGTTATTAAGACTTTAAAGACTGGGTTCTAGGAAAAAACGCATTTGATATTGTAAGGTGCAGATGAAAAATTTCAGAATGAGGAGTAGAATGTTATGGTTTAAGGAGATATGTTTAGATGTGAAGTCGATGGAAGGTGGACTCATGATGGTTAATTTTGATTGACAGATTGAGAAGTGCTTCAGGGATTAATAAAGGTCTTTGGGTGCATCTGAAATGATGTTCTAAGATAGTTATTAAGGGAGAAACTTCCTCAAACCTTGGTGCAATAATCACATGGGCTAGGGTGTGGCATGGGTAAAGGAAGAGAGAGGGAAGCCCACAGCATAGGCAGTCTTTTCACAGCACACTCTGCCTCTTCTCTACCATGAGTTGAATGTCTCTGCTCTATCATACCCTCGATATATGAGACTTCTGAGACCATGAACAAAAGAAAGCTTCAACCTAGATGTGTTTGTCCACTATTTCATCACAGTGACACCAAAGTATCTATCACACAATAGAAAATAAGTGGATTATATTTGGTTTTGTTACATCTCAGAAATTCAAAGCCATACTAATTCACAATCAAGTAGGTTTTTAGTCTCACTTTCTTACAGGAAAATCTTACCCCCCCCCAAAAAAAAGGGAGCTTAGAAGAGGCAATAAGATGTTCATTATGTTCATTAGTAGCTGTAATTTGCTTCATTAATTATTCTGTGTTCACTGCCTTCATTTATTACCTTTCACCCAGGACTTCTTAGTGCTTTGATAGGCACACATGAGAAAATTAGCATTGTAAAAAATAGTACCAAAAAAGAATACTGTCAGGTTTATGTAGACTTGACATTGATTCTGAAATTCTATGCTGTTCCTGACTTGTCACAGTTTAAATATGAGGAAAGAAGAGATAGTTTGTATCTCTATGTTATATTTATATTTTCATAACTTCTATGTTATACTCACAACTTAATCATAGTTATAATCTTAAGTTTAGCTCTAATTCTGCTAGAGAATTAGTGTCAGCTAATCAGATATATGGTCACATTGAAATCATTAAAGACAAATAAAAATCCCATTACTAACTCACATGTAATTTTCACAAATAAGCTATTTCTTTAAATTTATAATGCATTCCTATACAATAGCTAGATAACAATGCTTCTTCTGTAAAAATGTGATACATGTAATACTGGAAAAACCTTGGCCAAATGAGTCCCGATTGTGACTATCAGGTTTACTAATTTAACTCATCCCAGATTTCTTAAACACTGGTTTCTTTTTCTTCACTTCCTTGGCGGCTTCAGGTTATTTTCAATAGGTCTTGCTGAGCCCATCTGGTTTAGTTTATGCTAATCTGCTACTTGGAAAGCAGATAATAAATACCTCAGAAACACTGTTTCCCTCTGCACCTCAGTACAAAAGGCCCTGCAGTGAATCTTAAGGTTGCCCAGCATTAGTCATCCCACCAGGTGTCTGCATCCAGGTTTTTGCAATCTGTTTACAATGTTCTGAGGTCATCTCAGGCCAGGTCTCTCAGGCAGATGGTACTTAGACCACTTTTAAAAGTGATAGGTGCCTAGAATTTTCCCCAAACCATCTCAGAAATTTATAATATCTTACTTAAATCTTTTCCTGTCTTGTGGGGTGATACAGACGGGAGGGGTGTTTTAAATTTTTTTTTTTGTTTAATTTAAAACAAAAGGGAGATTTAAATAGTTGAACAAGATGCTCCATATATTATCTCTATACTTTGCTTAATTAAAGAACATTGCTTTCTTGTTAATCCAGTGTCTCACAATAGAAAAACTGTCTTGACGAAGTAGTTTGCAATTTTGAGGTAAAGGTGGAGGTGGGTGTTTGGGAGGAGAAAAGGGCAATTATCAAACCAACTATAGTAGTAATTATAGCTTGCCAAGGAAGAGATCTTCAAATGAATATAACCTTGTAGTCAGCACGGGGCTTCATACATATTCTAAGAGTTAAAGAGCTGATATACTTTTATAGTGCTAATGAATTGTAAATTGCTTTGTTGTATGATTAAATGACAATCTCTAAAAAAAAGGAATAAGGGTTCCTCAACACGTCTATATCTAATGCTGCACTATGTAAAACTGACTCATGTTCTAGGGCCACTGTGATGGTAAATAACTATATACAATTAGTCACCAGGTATTTTTAGTAAATTCAATTTGTTGGGTTCTCCCACAAGCATCGAAGGAGAGGTAATGTCATTTAATGAGAAGCAGGTGCAGTTTCCACCCTAAACCTGGAAGCTAGATGAAACCCGTAATGCCAGAAGGTTGGAAATGCATTTCTTGTTTGCTTGCTTTCAGGGGATCACAAATGTGAAGGGGATTCTGAAGCTTGCAGGAGGATGCTCAACAGCGGCAGAGCAATGGCGGTACTTACTGTGGCCATTCTGTAAGTGTGTCCTTCTCTTCTCCTCTGATTTCATTTTGGCCTTTATGTACCATTGACACCTTACAAAAACAGTAAACAAAAGCTTATTTAAGAATTAGGTGATATGAGAATACAAAATAATTAGAGACCCGGAGAAATGGCTGACTGGTGAAGAACACTTGCTACTCTTCCGGAGGCCTTGAGTTGATCCCCTACATCAGAGGACTCGCAACTACTTGCACCTTCAGGTTCAGGATCTATAACACCCTCTTCTGGCCTCCATGGACACTTGAACTCCTATGCATATATCCTTCTACATATACATAATTTACAACTAAAAATAAAATGTAAAAAGAATACAAAACAATTAGAATACACATCATCCCTAGACAAAGTTCTTGTCTCTCTTCATAAAGACCAGCTTAGAATATGTTTACAATGTGAAAATGCCCCATATAATGCTTTACATAAAAATTAGCATCAAATAGCATGGTCAAATATACTGATTCAAAAGATAGGATTCATATAAAATATTTTACCATCAGCCATAAAATACTTCTTTTTTATATCTGACTTGTAATAATCACATTTTTTTAAAAGCATCAAAAAAAAGAGGTTTTGAGTCAGAATTTCAGAAATTTAGAAAATTAGCTTCTGTTTTCAATGCCAGTTAGCATGGTGGCTTCTTTTTTAGGAGTTGAAAATTTGTGGGGGAATGCTCTGTTCTTGCATTGTGTAATTGGGCTCTTGTGACTATATCATTTCAAGTAGCTTCATCAACATCCATGGGATTTGACTGTTCATAAAATTTGTAATTCCAGTTGGTTAAAGAGAATGTATCTGTAGGACACAGTGCAATTTTTCAATGTGAATTATGCCTCTATTTCTAGGGTAGTTTAAATATTCATCCAGATTTGCTATTTCCATGGAATTACTTCCATTGGATGTCTCTCTACCAAGGTTCATGAGAGGTACTTCAGAATGACTGTATTAGCCAATGTAATCAAAGTAGTTCTTTCCAGCATGTAAAGTGTTTAGGCAATTTCTGATGTTATAAAATTGGCAAACATAGAAATTCAAAGTTGAGAATGATTTAGTGTTCAGTTTTCTTTGTTACTAACTTCTCTGTTTAAGTGGCACTGATATTCAAATTTAGGAATTATGAAGACAGGTAACATTTGATAACTCCTTTCAAGTTTGTTAGGCTAAATTTTGTCCACAAAGATTGCAGCATTTTAAGTCTGTAACATTTATAATTCAAAGCAATACTGTAAAAGGTGAATGTTCTTATAATATCACATACTCTCTTGCAAAGAAGAACGATTCTAAGACAGTGATGATCTGTGTCAGAGTAGCGACAAGTAAGAAAAAAGTTTCTGAGGAGTTAAAAGGATATGAGGGGTAAGATGATAATGAATATTTGATTATGTGAAATGTCACAATGACAACATGATTGTGTTATAAAAATACTGCTAATACCTTATATATTGATAACTGCTTAGTAAAGGTTATCAAGAGAACACGAAATATAATAAACTTTTCTAGTATATATTTACCCTCTATAAAATAAATGCTATTGGCAACTTGTGAATCATGTGTATGGATATCTTGACAAAAATAATTTATTCATCATAAAATTATAAACAACTGAAAGTACAATGATACCCTATATAGATTTATTAACACCAAAGATACAAAACATATATTATCTAGACTATGATAATTTAATATGATGATTAATTTTGATTTAGCAAGATTCTTAATTTCCACTTTGAAAATTTCTTTGAAGATGTTTAGGGTACAATATTAGATGGTTTTATTTAAGAGGAGTGTCATATTTATTTACAACAACAAACAATATACAAAAACCCCTGTACATCATGAAGTTTATTTTAAATGTTCTATAAATTGACTCTATAGCCAAATCAGATATACTTATAATATATATTACCTACATCTTGTAGAATATGAATTAAGGCCTTTCTCCCCATCTCATCGTCTCTTTCTGTCACCAGGGATGTGAATGGCATACCCAGATCTACTGCCTGTGAATGTCGGGCTTTATCTGCTTCAGGGTTTTCTACTAGGGTTTGGTGCTTTATACATGGAGTCACCTTGGGTATCTATTGTTTGTTTTATTGGCATTATTTGGGCAGTTTGAAATCATGGCATTGGAATCTTGTATTATGCACATGTTTCAGATTGTTAATATAAGTCTTGAGGTATTCTTTGTGCCCCTACTGATATTTAGAAATGCTTCGAGTTTTGATTGTTGTGAGAAAGCATAATTACCAAATCAATTTGGGAAGGAAAGACTTTATTTTCCGCTTACAACTGTCAATTCATGCTCTATCAGTGAGGGAAGTTAGGACAGGAATCTACAGGCAAGAACTGAAGCAGAGTCCATAGGGGTTCTATGCCCACTGGCTTGTTCCTTGTGGCTTATTCAGCCTGTTTTCTTAGACATACTACGATCAGTGCCTAGGAGTAACACCACCCACAATCAGCTGGGTGCTCCCATATCAATCTGGTGTGACCAGTCTGGTGAAATTTTCTAATCGGGTTTCCTCTTCCCAAATGACTCTAGCTTGTGTCAAGTTGGCATAAAACTAATCAGCACAATCAATGAATACATATTTTTCCTTAGAAAAATGATCTGAAGATACTTCTGATAAATAATTGTCAAAGATGACTTCAAAATAAGTTGCTTGAAAATAACTTCATATATGTTATCTTCATTCTTATTTGTGAAGTTTTGATACTTGGGTATTGGTAATCATCCAAATACTGTCATACACACACACACGCATGCATGCACATACACACACACACACACACTCATGCATACACACATACACTCAAACACACACATACACACACACACTCACACATGCACACACATGCACACACACACATGCTCACACACACATACACTCATACACATACACTCACACATACACACACACATTCTCTCTCTCTCTCTCTCTCTCTCTCTCTCTCTCTCTCTCTCTCTCTCAAGAGCATAAAGCATGGTTTTTCACGGAGTTGGGGATAATTGGGACAGACTCATTTACCTCCCAGTGATGAGGAAGAACAGAGTGAGGATGACAAGGAGTGTGAATCCCCCGACAGCTGCCGTGGCTATTACCAGGATCTGCCCTTGTTCTGCTGCCATATCAGAAGCTGAAACAGAGACACAGGCGACACATATGATGCTAGTTATTTATTTTAAATCACACCAGATTGACCTTTATTTTAATAGCACTTTAAATAACCCAGCTGAAATGAGATTTATGTAATGTTTGCAGAACTGAAGTCATCATACACAGCACCAAACTTTCTTCTTTCTTAAAAATATAAGTAAAATATATGAATTCTTTGTGCTTCCTTTTAAGATTGAATATGAGTTGTATCGATCAGACTTTGCAGACTCGTTTGGCATCGGTTTCTACAACATGAAAAGACTATGCTGAAATTTAAATTAATAAATTAAAATAATTAAATTTATATTTAATATATATTTCACAGAACTAAGTTCAAATATTAAAGATGTGCATTTCCATATTCACAGCGCAAGGATGTTTGTGTGTGGACAAGGATACAAGTATATATGTGTGTATACAAGTATATATGTGTGTACACATATATATATATATATTTGATAGATAATAAGTGGGGGGGAAGGAATACTTAAGTGCTTTGTTTTTTTCTTTTTTGATAAAAAAAGCCAGATATCACATATAGTAACAATATACTACTTTTTTTCCCCTATATGTGATGTTTAGTATGAATTGTCAGACCTTGACAGACCTAGAATCATCTAGGTGATGCTGGCATCTCAGCATCCATGTGGGCAATTATTTTGATTACATTAACATTTATTGTAGATGGAATCATTTCATGGGCTGAGATCCAGGAATGAATAAATGGAGAAGGGGAAATAATCACCAGCATTCACTCATTTGCTCCATACTCCATGATTGTGCTATGGCCACCTGCTCCGGCTCTTTCTTGCAGCCTAGACTTTCCTTCCTAAATACTGGTACTAGAGCCAAAACATACCTTTCTATTTAAGTTACTTTTGTCAGAATGTTTTACTATACAAAGAAAGAAATAAACTAAGACATTGGCAAAATTCTCTCTCTCTCTCTCTCTCTCTCTCTCTCTCTCTCTCTCTCTCTCTCTCTCTCTCTGTGTGTGTGTGTGTGTGTGTGTGTGTGTGTGTGTGTATGTGTTTATGATGCTAAGGTTTGAACAGGGGGGCTTGCACATTATAGACAAGGAAAAAAACCTCTTGTCTTAAAAACTGCAGCAGCTACATGTCACTTATCTTTCAATACATTGATTGGTTCAGTTCATTATTGTACTCTATTTCTCTATTACTGTTTTCTACACTGGATAGGATGGGAATTGCTTACATATGATGAATATACAGACAGAAACATCAGAGTGAATCCCTTAATATCTATAATTAGTTTGTTAATTAAAGAAAAAAGTAGTGGTAATGAAAGTGAAACCCAGATTAGTTAAAGCGTTTCCTCATGTAAACTTTTGACCAGAATCCAGGCTCTCAAATTATAGATTTGTTTTCCTTCCCATGTTATAAGTACCAATAATAATTCATCCAACAGTAGTCTAAAATATTAATCAATAAGTCCCATTATTATCCTTCAGCTTGACTAAAGCACTGTAGTTTATTTCGTGTGTGTGTGTGTGTGTGTGTGTGTCTGTGTGTGCACGTGCGCACGCGCACACCAGTGTGTGTTTGAGTGTGCATATGGAGGTCAGAGGACAATCTTGGCTCTTGGTGTTAGTCTTCTGCCTTGTTGGAGATAGGGTTTCTCATCATTCATCACCCTTTTTTGGGCTACCTTGATATATACATTCACTAGCCTCCAGGAATTTTCCTTTCTCCACCTCCCATCTTTCTGTAAGGGCAGTGATGGCTATGCTACTACATCCAGCTTTTATAAATGTTCTTGGGGACTCAACTCAGGTCATCAGGCTTGCACAGCCTCCTCTTCTAGAGAGTATCAACTGTTGGCTTCAGTAAGAAATCAGTCACACCATTTAGGAGACTTTCCAAATGTCATAAGAAAGGGCCACGTTTGTTCTGTTTTCAGCTAAAGAAATTTATTAAACATTGGAATTAGAATTTAGTCACCATTATTTCATCAAAGTATTTTTAGGCAGTTTTTACAATGTTAAGTTTTGGTTCTTAATCTATTCAGAAACGAGTTAAATAGTTGCATCTTATCCAATAAGTAATGGACTCAAGCTTTTTTATTTGTTTTCCCCCTGGTTTTGCAATCTTCAAAATACCATTGATATGGGAATTAAATGTTGTATTTTCTCACTGAAAATTATCAAACAATAAATTTTTTAAGTAATTGATGTTTCAGAAAACATTATAGTTTTGAAGATAAAGAAGATGACCTTTTTAATGGAAGACATTATTTACTTACATCTCCTGTGCTCATGAAAGATATTATCTAGTTCAAGAGTTTCAGCCTAGAACAAATATTGTCATACCAGTCAAGTCTCTAGTGATTTCTTGAGACTGTATTCAAAGCTCAGATGGGAAATAAGATTATGTATTTGACTGGCTTGTGAAAATCAGAAAGTTTGCCATAGAAATTTATGTTTGTTTACATAATAACTTAGTTAACTACTGGTTTCATTAATACATCTCCTTTTGCATACTTCTGAATATGTGATTATAAACTGGTTTTGAATTAAAATTTTAATTGTTTAACAGAATGTTAAATAAATTTTAAGAATTCATAGCCCTGTATAATTATTTCCTAAGCATGTAGACTAGCAAAATTAAGCATTTCTGTATAAAGAATAACATACACACATACTCAACACTGTTGAAAGTAATGCTTAATGACAGTCACTTTTGTACTGGGTATAAAATAATATACACAATGAGGGTAATATGATTAGGGAAATATGACAAACATAAATACCCATAATCACGTATAGTCTATGTATTATTTAATAAACAGACATATGTTCTTACGTCAACGTACAGAGTTTAAAAAAATATTTTTGAATGTATGTTCATGATCCACAGACTTATGTCAGCACCATTGTTACTCCTAGTTAAGTAGTTCTGTTACTTGTCAAACCTACACATACTGTACAGAGAAAATCTGACAGCACAATACTGATTTGTCTGTCTCCAAGTCCTAGCTACCGAAATATTTTAAATGACCCTATTCACTAACAGGAGAACCTACTAGACCCAGATTTTCTTTTGTTTTACAAGAATTACACATGCCCTTGTTTGCCATTGAGTTCAAGTCTATAATGTGAGAGTGTTGAATTAAATGTAATTGTCACATTCTGCCAGAGAAATGTAACTATGTTATTGTGTTTTTCATGAAGCAGTAAAATATTGGAAAGAATACAGTTTCCTACATGGAGGAGGAGCCATGGCCCAGCCTTGTGCAGCTGTTATTGTACTTGCTGGATAAGTTCTGTCTTTATGGGATTAGTGCTGGTCCATCACACAGAGCTCTGATTTCATCTCAGGGTAAACTTCAAATCCCTTAACTTTATTAATGAGGCTTTTTTCAACTGGCTAGCACAAATCTCTAGGTTGTCTGATTAAAAGACACTGCATTCCCTCAGTTCCTTGAGTGAGTCACACTTTCTTTAGGGGTCAGTTTTCTTTCATGGTCACGCAGTCATTTGGAAAGCTTTTCCAAGTTATGTGTTTTTTTCTTAATTGGGCTCTCAGACAGTTGTTTCCATAACCCCCTTAAACTAATACTCTAAATGAAGGTATAGAATGTCACCCAAATTACTTTTTGGCAAACTGTCCCTTTTATTGGGATGAAAATTCCAGGAAGGCAGGAAATTCAATCATTGTGATGTCTGTAGGAAGTCCAGTGAGATACACCTCGACTCCACTCCTCTCAAAGAGAAAGTGTAAATCAAAGTCATATCCAGCATGAATTATCTAGAAAGTCACAGATCTAACAGGGATTCTTCTTATATGAGGTTAAGACAAGAAGACAAAGAGACAGCAGAGTGATGAGGAACTGGATGTGAAGTTCTTTCTCAGAGACTTGGAAAAGGTATATTTTGGGTTCTATTGTGATCTGTTGTTTGAAGGCAAAAGATGTGTAATATACTGCACAAAAACGAATTTTAAGGCCAACCCATGTGACTTAACATGTCCTAGTAGCTTAATGAATACATTGAGAAAATGAATTGGATGGCCATCTGCACTGTATAATTCTGATAAGGAGAGGTTCGATTAAGCTGGGAATAACTCACACCTGTCCTCCTTTTGGTAACATGAGGAAATTTTACCTCAAACATAGCTGTTCAATGTATATGAAGATAGCCTACTCAATATTCATTTCTAATTACTCTACGCACTTTGGAGACAATGATCCTGGAAGGCAAGAGTTACTATAGCAGTAACACTTGTACATTTTACCATGGTCTACAGAACAAGTTTAAAGAATTCATTAATTCACTTAGTAAGTATTTATTGAGAAGTTATTACATAGCAGATACTAAGGTGACCCTGGGGAGACAGAGATGAATAACACAGATGCAATTACTATGCTGGTAGACTGACAGTTCAGTAGGGAAAATAGACAATGAACAAAAAAATTACAAAGAGTAAGAACTGCTACATCAGGGGAACTTGTCTGCAGTGCTATCTATATTCATTTGTGAAGTCCCAATGCTAATTATGCCTAATTAGTTTTCTCAGAGAAAATGTATCTAGAACTTATTCTCCTAAGTAGTACCAACAGGGAGAGCTCTGACCCTAAAATGAGCCATAGTGGGATCTGCAGAAATAAATGAAATTTATCTGTGACTCACTCATTGGGAAATATTTTTTTTTGTTAAATACAAAAAGGTTATATCGTCAGACAAGGTAAGCATATTAAAACGATATACTTAATTTTATGGTCTTGGCAAGAAGTATACTCCCTTAAGGAAAAAATAATTAATTTAAAAAATATTGTGATTGTGTTACTCAGCAAATAAATAGCACCTAGATAATGCTTGGTTTAAGTCAGGAGAATATTAAAAGAAGCTTGCTCTAGTTGTTTCTATTTCAAAACAGAATGAAGTTCTTTCCATGGAATCTCAATTCTTAAAAAAAAATAGAGTCCACGTTTTTAGAAGAGTGTGAGAGAAAAGCAAGTTGG